TTCGCTTCAGCATTCTCTCCAGCCACCATCTCTTGTACACAAATGTACATCTCATTTGGTAAATGAAGGTGGGGAAGTATGGGCTGGTTAGGAGGTGCATTGGTGGGTGCCCCTGGTTTCCCATTTGCAAGGAAGGTGTCACTACTTGGGAGTCTCTATTGATAAACAGTTTATCATTTTTCCTGGAATCTATTATCTGACTCTCAATCGAGGTCTTTCAATTGCTGTTAGTTCCTCTATTTTGAGTTGCTTGTTCTGTTGCAGGTACCCCCTTCAGTTTGGTTGTCTCCGAACTATCTGACTATTGTGGACGCCCACCGAACACACATAGAGGGCATTCATCCTTTTTTCTCATTGGTTCCGCAAAGCAAGCTGATATCGGCAGCAGGAATAATGAGACGGCTATTTTCTGAAGACGGGAAATCCGGAAGCAATCTATCAGAATTGTCAACAGAACTTACCCGGGATCCTGGGCCATGACGTCACTCTACTGGCATTCAAAAGGAGGATTCCCGCTAGGCGTGGGACCAGGAGCATCGAAGGCAGCCAGTCCGTTGGAAAAGTCCTCATCTTGCCTCGGACCCAGAAGAAGGGGGTCAGGGCCTCCCAAGGCCTCACGGCTGACCTCATCTCGCCTCGGACCCAGAAGAAGGAGGTCAGGGCCTCCCAAGGCCTCACGGCTGACAGCCAATTGCGGAAAGAAACGGAGCCCCCCTGGAGAGCACGGGAGGCTAGGAACTTGTCGCGCCACGGTGTGACCAGGGTAGGCTGGTGAACGGGCCTGGCAGTTAATTGGGCAGTAAGCTGGGGTACCCCACGCAGCCTGGCCCGATAATATTTCTACGGGAGACTTTGCCATTCCGGGAGTCTTTTCCTCATTTGGATTTTCGCGCTGTCCCGCGCTACCGCCGACTGAAGCCGCATCCCTGCAGAAGACAACAGCGTGGTGAGACCTTCCACAGTAACGTTGCTTGTAACGGGCGAAAATCCGTGCCCACCCGCCCGTGCCCCTGGTTTCCCATTTGCAAGGAAGGTGTCACTACTTCGGAGTCTCTATTGATAACGTGATGAACCATTTCCCAACCCCAAGGCTATCTTTCGTACCCTTTCTTTTGCTTGTATCGTACCAACCCCAGGAAAGCCCGTTTTTGATTACTTGCTTTTGGGTACCGCATTTTATTTTATTTTTAGAGCTTCTTTTTCGATTGCCGGGTTCTATTCTTCTTTTTTTGCAAAAGTCGGAAAATATATGGGAAGTTACGTGCGCCTTAGCGAGCGCACTGGGAATTAAGCTCAGCAGTTGGGAATTCCGGAACAAACGGAGCCCCGACGTGTCC